CCGGTCGTGGGATAAATATAGGAGAGCGTTCATCCGCGGACAAAGCAATTATAAGTCATGAGCCAGATAATTGAAAGAACGATCGGATGGACTCGGGTTAACATGTGGTTAACATTTGCTTTGGAACATGTTCGCCGCTGCTCAACTAACAATACCGTAGTGGAACGTAATGATTCCGAATAAATAAATAATTATTTGCCGTCGGAAAGTTAGAAACTCATTTTTGGGTTCGGAAAGTGGATTTTTGCATTCTAAAAATAATTGCTCAAAGGGCGTTCGGATTTAAAAAAAGTACAACCGGTCGGTAGAAAACAAACAAATGTGGGGCAGAAAAGCGCTCGGGGGACGATTCCGGCCCAATTCGGATTTGGGGTCGTATTTAAGAAATTAATTGAGAAGCTGAGGTCGTATTCGATAAAATAATTGTAATTTTTGACCATTCGGAATCATTACGTTCCACTACGGTAGTATCATTGCCACTCGACTTTGATCTTCAACATATTGCGGAATGCACGCAGCTGGCTCACGTACTATACAGGCGTAGCCTCTCAAGCTCACTCTGCTATCCATCCTACTATCTACGGTATTTGTATTGCATCACTTCAAGGATGGTAAGTTGTAACATCTCAACACTAACTTTGTTAATTTGATCTGTTTCAGGACCATTATGGCACATTTGCACACGTGACACAAGGTGACTCAGGAGTCAATTGCTCTGTGTGTGGCATGGCGGGGGCATGGCCACCAATATGCCCTAGCCCCGAAACCCTAAAACCCTGAAAAGTGAGCTAAGCCCAGCACAATTTCGTAGCCCCTGCCAAACTCATGGGGGCGGCATGGTAGCATTGAAGGTCGGCCATTCTCGTCTTCAAACAGGAAGTCAAAGCGATCAATATGATATCCCCCTCCAACTCAATGTCTCAGCCGTGTGTCTCATCCACGATCCCGCAGCCGCACGGTTTGGACATTGATTGGCTTTTCTATTGCAGTCGGCCCTCAAATCTTTCATTGTTTCCAAGAGTGCTCAATCCCGGCATCCTTCAACGCTCGATGGGGACGGTGGTGGCAAATGCTGGCTGCCTATCCCAAGCAGAATTCTCCCGTAGGCGTCATGTTCTGCTCCAAAACGTGAGTGGTGAGTATTTTCAGAAGACCGCTCAGGTGCTCTCTGTCAGAGAAGGGTTCTGTCCCACTCCGTCCAACTTGCGTGAAGCAGGAAGCTCCTCATATGCAGTTTGCAAATGCTCTGTGAGACAAGATGTTCTTAGAACGTAACAGGATTTACCCCCAGGTGAACCACCACCACCATCTTTATTGTTCACCCCGGGGGGCTGGATCACGAGCACGGCAAAAAGTCTCCGCTGCAGCTCAACAAGTGAGTCCTCGAACAGGCACACCTTTTCTGATTCATGAAATTGAGCTCTTTTCTTGAGTTCTGGGTTTTTGAAGTTTGAAGGGGATGATTTTGAAGGGTTCCCACAAAGTTGCCTTCTGATCGATGCGAGTAGAGCCCTCCAGTTTAGCACCCATGCGATTCAAGCGGGTGAGAGTACCTTCAGCGTGAAATTCTGCCGCCAACAAGAGAGCTAAGGGGGAGCTTGGCAATCATGCTTCTATGAGGATCTAGGGGAGATCACCGTGTGATGGAGATTCTGATGGTTACAAGTCGAAATCGTGGTCTGTGGCCGACTGGTTGGGAACCAGCGTCTGGCTAGCTAAAAGTATTTTTGTAGTTCCCAAACAGACACTCCCCTTGAGACTATGTTATTAATGCAACTCTTCCTCTGACAGCATGAGGCCCCTCCCGGAAGATCCGAGGTCCTGGTAGAGTTTGAAACGGAAGGTGTGTGTACAAGAGCACAAGTGGGTGAAAACATAATGCAGGTACGCTCTCTCCCTTCATTAAGCTGGAGGAGACTTTCTGGAAATGTGATTTGAAAGGTTATTTGCTCTGAAAGCTGATCCAAGCTGCTGCATCCCCAATGAATCTGCGGTCTGTGATGATTTGACTGGGCAAAAGCACATACAACAATCTCAGACACTTGGAGATGCTTATCTTGGTTCCAATATCATCAAGCCGTGTTTTGCGGCGCAACCGATCGCCAGGATCAAAGAGACGTTGTCTGTATTCTTTTTCCCAAGTCATGCATGATTTAGACTTTCTTTCACGGTTTCGACGTTCTTCTCTAAGTCTCATCGATTGAATTCAAGACTTCAGGGCCAAATGAGGTTTTTGATTGTGCAGGTCGCGGAGCGCTGCGGCATCTCTGTGCAGCATAGCTGCTTGTCAGGATCATGCGGAACCTGCGAGGTGGGTCTGGGTCTCCCTTGCCAGCTTGTGTATCCGTCCTTCAACTTGAGCATTCAAGAGCCCAGAGCAGCAGGGATCTACAACGCCTTGTGTCAGAATTTGTTGATTCTCAACAACTTACTGAGCTTGTCCTCGGAATTCTGCACTGAATATTTGGCCGCCATCAGAAACGATTTTGAATATGCTCCAAGAACGCAAGATGGCAATGTCATCCTGATCTACCGAATCCAACCAGGGACAAGTATATACTCTACTCTCTGGTTCCGATGCAAGAACGTTCTTCGTAAGCTAAAGTCTTCTGGGTCTGTGTAAGTGTGTTTTGAAACGTCTGCTTTTCGCATCCAGATGGAGATAACGAAAGAAGAAACGGGTGCAGCGGATGCAGAGGTAAAGAGTCGGTCGACAGGGATAGTGCGGACGTGCATAGCGGCCATACCAGCCGGGTACAGCAGGCTGATCGTAAAACAGTTGGATGATCCATACTGGGGGGGCGGGGATGGTTGGATGTAACGAGCAGCTTGCAAGCTCTCAGTGTACACCGTCTTTTCAGTCAATGTTTAGTTCCCAATCCTACGCCGACCATCTTTCAACAACAAGTGCCAACTGTACATATGGTACTTAACAAACAGGGTAGCTTTAGTCGGTTGCACGTGATTGATTGCAGTCCAAATCAATTGGTTTCAAAGGGCTGATTTAGTTGTCAGTGCCCATTTACATCTTTGTCTGTCGCCTTGCATTGGGTACCGTGCAACTCACTGTCCGAACCGTCGGCAAATCTCAATTTGAATTCAATGCATCAGTCGCGCCAGGCAGCCGCTATTGTACGTTCTGATATGCATTTGAAGTTCTGATATATGCTATTGAAGTCATCTACGCGCATCCAAAAGAACTCCGACGTAGATTATTCTGAACTTGTAGAAACATTCCAGAAATATTGACATGCACTGAGTGTCGTGCACACATGCATGGGTTAGTATATGCAGTACTAACCGTATGCTTTTCACATGGGCCCCGATGGTTTCACAGCGCTAGGCTTGTCTATAGAGCTTTTAGTGGTCGTAGTTGGCTGGACGACGGGCCGGACATTGATGACGACATTAACGACATTAACGACGGTGGGCCAATTGGCCCACCGTCGCATACGATATGCAGATGCCGCTCGAAAGACTAACGCTTATGGTTCTTTCCACAGTATGCCGGTATGCTTGCTAATGACAAGGTCGGTCGTGCGCAGAGCTAAGTTCCCTTGATGAGATCATGCATGACATGTGCGCTCACGTTTGAAGGCAACAGCCATCGGCTTGCTTTCAAGTCTCATTGATTAAGCTTTTGATTAGAAGCTTTGCCGCCCAAGGCGTCTGGGCTCCGGAAATGTTATCAACAGAAAACGAAACCGAGGTTTAAGAGCTCGTCTTTTCGGATCGAGAAAGTGGCCTTTCTCTTTCTCGTTAATATGGAGATCAGCGGCAGCTTTTTCTTGTTAGGGCCGATTCAAATCGCACGCTGGATCAAAGTTCTTCTCCTTTATACACGACTGCCGCCCACTCTCTTCTGTTCCTACTCTCTACGCTGCAGATCCGCGCCGGTCCGCACCTACTACTGGCAGCCTTGCAGAGGCGACGCCCGCTACTTGCCGGCAAGCTTGACGGTCGCTTCGCCGACCTCCTCCGCGCTCTGCGGATTGGGCCCCGTCACAAACGGCTCGTCGACCACCACGAAGGAGCCCTGCGCAAAGACGGCGCTCGCGGTTAGCAATTGGTCCATACGAGCAATCATGCTTTTTGAGTTCTCACACTCAACCTGGAGGCAAAAGCAAGCTGACAGAGGCAAAAGCAAGTCCCAAAAGTCGCTTTCCACACGTATTCGTAACCGGCCATTAACCGACTTCGCTCCTTGATCCTTAAACGCACGTAGTCTTCAAACGCCATTGATTGCAAGGATTGCTCGCTTGGGCCCCCCGTGTCGCAGTCCCGGTTAGTTACTTGTCAGGCGCCCCATTGCTACACAAACCGACAAATCAAGAGCACGAATTGTCCGCTGACCAATCATGGTCAAAAGCGAAGTCGATTTCTCGGGGGCCGGCTCGAGGAGTCCACAGACTGATGAACCGCCCATTGATCAAGTAAGATGCCTGGATCGCCCGTTAATCAAGCACGATTGCAAGGAGCCGAGTTAAGATCAGGTGAAAATGTGTAGCCGCGAACCCATACGGTCCCTATCAGTGATTTTCAAGCCGCCGCTTGACCAAGGAATTCATTCTTGTAATCTGTTCGTTAAGGGTTGTTCCAAGTCTTATGGTGGCGGGCTGAAGCGGCCTAGACAGAAGTAACCTGATCCGACTGCCCGTTACCCAAACCCGTTAAGAGGAACCGGATTTTGACGCTTTCGGCTCACCCAGTCGGGCCCCTTTTGGTAGAGCGCGCCCCTCTCCTTGAGCGCGTCCTCTAGCAGGAACGGCACCGCGTCGATGTCCCCAATCGACTTCTCCTCCGAGTTGCTGAAGCTGGTCACCTGCGAGGCGATTGGGATAGTTTAAAGATTTCGCGTTGCAGAGGCTTGGGGCTCGTGGGATTTCCTAGGGCTGGATCCTACAAGGCGCCCTGTTTGTCTGTTTGATTGTTTTTCAACCGCTTAGTCACAACGCGTGGCAAATCTGAGATCATCACCCGCAAGTTTTCTTCTTGTTTGCGAGGAACCGCACGTTCAGAGTGTCGAGAAGGGAACCGTGCACTTGCAAACGAAAGCCTCCTGCCACAGTCTGCTGAGATATAACCCAGTGGATCTTCTCTCAAGGATTCTCGACATTGAATGCACGCCGCGAAGCCTCCCCCACGCCAGCTCTGATTCCACACCTCCAGCGACAGAAAAAACTGCAAAACGCTTCTGAGTACTGGAATATCCTCCAGGACTCACCACGACTCCGTGCTTGCAAGATTCGGACGTACGGATGAAATACAGAGACCGATCCACACTGAACCCAATACCGATCTGCGCAATTCACTCCGAACGCCTCCCGAGACGCGCGCGCGCGCCCACCTTCTTGCCCTTGACGATGGGCTCCCCCTTGTCGTCCTCCGGCTTGATGAAGCCCGCCGGGCCGTGGCAGACGGACGACAGCACCTTGCCCGCCTTGTAGTGCCGCTTCACCGTCTCCTTCACCGGCTCCGTCGTGAAGTCCCACATGGTGCCGTGCCCGCCTGGAAAACGGCCAACCGGGCGGTCAGGAATGGCCGGTTCTCTGACACTGATTGCCCTGAATTTCAGTTCTCCGAGGGTAAAGAAGGCGCTGGTGACAGCGTAGAGATGGCCAACCGGGCGGTCAGACTCGCCGGCGTTTTGACCTCTCGATCTGACACCGAGCTTTTGAAGAGTACGAAGGCGGCTGTGACAGCCTAGGGATTGGAATTTTCGATTGGGCGGGCAGGTCAGCGTCTTCGCACAATCGTGTGAAGCCACAAGTTCCGTCTGACGGCCTACAAGTCTGCAGTGTTGACTAGCAGAGAATGAGCCTTTGCAAGTTTCCGGTGGCGTCATATCTTTGACTGCTGAGATGAGGGGGGGAAAAGAGAAGAAGGGAAAAAGAAGAGTAGGATGTTGGGCGGGGAGAAAGAGAACCAGTGTCCTTGGTTTGAACCGTTTGGAAGCAAGCTGTCAGATTCGACTTGTCAGGTCATTCTGTCATTCGCAGCGCGCTTAGGTTGTGGCAAAGAGAGGGTGTTTTCTGGTCTGAAATGCAGAAATCGTCAGTCTAAAAGAAGGGGAGAGTGTACCCATACCCGGCAGGTAGAGGATGTCGTATACGTCCTTGACGTCTCTGACCGACTCGGTGTCGTTGAGCAGGTTCTTGGTCTCATCTGCGCGGCACGAGATCGTCGATCTGCAATCTTCTCATTCGCTTTCTATAATCCCACTGAGTCTTGCATATGACCGCCGTTTCTAGAGTTGAGTTCCTTTCCAACTGGAGACTGGCAGCTCGAATTCGGAGCGACGAAAGATAGTCCATCCGAGCTGCTTCGTATTATAGAAAGGTTCCGCTCTGGTATTCAGATTTGCGTCAGCATGCAGCCAGTGCTGACGTCATCGTGGAGGGCCCCCTCACCGCTCTCGAGGAACTTCTTGCTGTGGGGCCCCTTCCTGTCTTCCTCAAGGCTCCGGGGGTCTGCGCACAAGAAGACGGGAAGAACCATTGATCTTGCACGCGGTGAGGTTCGATCTCTCCGACTTGACCCTCTCTAGTTGAAAACAAACAATCCCGCTTGAGTCCAATCCCCAGCCAGAGAGCAGTCCCTGATTCAATCCACTTGTCTTTCGTTCGGGGCTACACAATCCACCCTATCCTGAACACTTGCGTGATTTTCAACCTGAGTCCAGAATGGCTCCTCTTTCAACCACTTTTTCTGGTCTCAAAAGAACTCGCTTGTCGACAACATCCTGCCTCGATTCTCGGGAAGCTGCATAATGGGACAAAGAGTTCCTCGGCCTCTTTGTGCGAAACATTAATTCAGGGGGGGTATGAACCTGAGTCTTACCCAGCGGGACCTTCCCCCCCTTCACGCTGGTGATCTTGACCTTGTAGCCGGCCTCCTTGAACTTGAAGTAGGGCGCCGCAAGCTCCTCCAGCCTGCATGCACGAAGACGTCTTGGCTTTGAAATTTTCTCTCATAACATTCGTACAAGTCTTGATGCTCGACGGAATGCAGGGGGTGGCTTGATCTCTACGGATGCAGGCCGGTTTATGCTCTTAGATGACTGGCCCTAGTGGGAATTTGGAGGACAGTGCACGAGGGCATGGCAGTTTCAGGGCCAAAGACAAACGAGCCAGGCCAGGAAATCTAACTCTGCTCGCAATCGAGGTTCTTGCATCCTCTCTGTGCGCAACCGGCTTGACTTCGTTCGTTCGCATCTTGACTCGTCAAGCTGACACAGAGGACAAAGACGAACAGGAGGGGAAGGATGCGAAGAAGCACAAATATGCCCTTAGACATCTCTAGAACCTCTGACTATTGTGTACAGAAGCAAAGAAGGTCCGGCTTCAGAGCTTAAGGAATCTACTGCTAGTTCTGTTTCTGACATTGCGCGCGCGCGCTCACCATAGCCCCGTCTTCCTCCCGCTGGAGCCGAGCTGCTCGTGCGACGTGCAGATACAGAGCACCGACTTCGTCATCCTGGCAGGTGAATTTCTGTGCGGCTATCCCTGTTCTTCCCTTTTCGAAAGCAAGCGCTGCCGGCGGCCAAAGCGCTCCTCTCGAACGCTGTTTCTTCACTAAGAAGAGCGGCGCGTCTTACTCAGGAGCGAGGGGCGGATGATAAGGAAAGAAAAGGCGAATGGAGAAAGCGCGCTTGATCCTTTGCTGTTTGTGCGGAGTCATAGGCCTGCGATGCAGAATCAAGAACACTCTGCAAGCTCGAACGACTTTTGATGCTTCGAAGCGAAGGTTTGTGTTTTCGAGATTCTTTCAGCACCATGCGCAGTGCGTCAGATCCGTACAGTCACCGCCAAATCAGGATCAGCCCTCTCATGCACGATCATGATCGGTCATGCTGTTTCATCATTGGCAGGACGTCAAAATGACGGTCGTCTTTGTAAATACCACGAATTGTACGGCTTCGAGGGCTCCCCATTAGCATGTGTCTCTCCTAAGCACACTCACGCATCTCATGCACGCAGAAGGCAGATGTTGGAGAGTTCCAAAGCGTCGGAGGCAAGCGAGGCCAAAGCAGCTAGCAGACTTTGGCAAGTGCACAAGTTCGACGGGAGCTCCTCATGCATGTCAGAAAAGACGCACTCAGCGCTGGCCCCGGCGCGCGTTCAGTAAGATCTGCCCCGGAGATATTGATCATTGGACCATGTTGGCATGCACTAGCTTGCATGTAATTGGACCCCCCGAGCAATGGATGCTGCACGCCATCCTGCGTTTGACCACTTAAAAATATATAAATAGATTCAAAGATTCCATGCGGGCCGGAGTATACTGCAAGCTTCGCTACACAGATGAACCTCAGAAGCTACATTCATGCCAATGCCAATTGCAACTTCTGCACACATTCATTGAAGGCGCTTTGAACATGTTTTTGACCAAAGCTAGCTATTGGCATGTGCAAGCAGAAAACGAGTAAACGGCGGCAGCGGTCATGTGAGATGCCTGTTGTGTCCCGTTACAATGCATGCATATGTGGCATCTACCTGTTGGTGTCTGTTTTTATGCACACATCCCAGCACACATGCGTGCCGGTATGCTGAACGAAGCCATCCATACCTTTTCTGCACCGTCACATGGTTGTGAGACGTTTGGTTGTCCTATTGCGCACGGTTCCCGGCACTCTGCTAACGTGCCGTCTTAAAGTACGGCATTGCAATCAATATAGACCAGTCCTACCACAGCTGTTTACGAAAATGCAACCGGAAGTCTCTGCTGTCAACCGGGCCGCTGCTATGAAGGGAAGAGGACCTGACTGATTATTGCTTATTCTCAAAACCGGTAAAATTGCGGCTGCCCGAGCCGTGCTTGATTGTCGAGTTGACCAAAAGACCTCGACACCAAAGCGCTTCGAAAAGATTCGTGCAATTCAACCTGTCTAAGTCGACAAGGCTTTCACAATCAGCTTAGCCACCTCAGACGAACTGGCAGGATTCTGACCAGTGATCAGGTTGCCGTCGGCAACAGCATACGGCCCCTGTAAATAACACAAAAGTTCAACATCAGAGCCCACCATTGAAAAAGCGAGCCCCTCGAATAAAGAGGAAGGACGTTAGACGTCGTTCAGTAAAATCCCCCAACATGACTACAAATGGAGGCTGTCTTTTGCAGCTCTTTTGTCAACATGAGCACGACGGGTGAGTGCAACATAACACGCGCTACCATCTACTGAAAATCAACAGGCCGACACGCATCGAATCTGCTTGACTCGAAGAGGCTTACCCAATCTGGCCCTGCCGAGAAGATCCCGCCCTGCTCCTTCAGTGCGTCCTCCAGCAAGAAGGGAACTTCGTCGGTCATTCCAACCGCAGCCTCCTCCGAATTGCTGAAGCCCGTCACCTGAAGAGAGCACAACACTAATCCAGCTTATGAAGGGGTCATCTCATTGACTCTTGAGCATTGACATACGGAACAGGCCAATGCTGAGCAAATGATTGGGCAGACCTCGGAGCAATCTCAATGAATTCAGGTTCCATAAACGAAGACCGAATAATTAGACTACAAGCCAATAAGTACAAACTGGGGCGGTCAGCCCTTGAGGGGCAGGATCGAATAAGTCACTTCGTAATGAGCAATTGTCGGGCCAACGGGTCACGGTATCTGTCAAAGGACCCGAAGCAGACCTCCAGGGGACAATCTGACTTCACCTCTCGAGTTGGTTCTACGAATGAAGCAGCTAGGAATCGATTTTTGAACCCCCAACGACAAGCGTTCAGCTTCAACCATCGCGATTGTATACCATCGCTTCCAGATATCTCAGAGTCCAGAGTTCAGAGGTCTTGGAGTTCAGAGATCAAAAAATTCTGAACAAGGATAGGACCCACGCCCCACCTTCTTGCCCTTGACAATGGGGTCGCCGCTGTGCTGCTGCGGCTTGATGAGGCCTGCGGGTCCGTGGCACACGGCACCAATCACCCCACCTGCCGCCCACTGCTTCTCCAGAAGGGCAATCACATTCGGGTCCGTGTTCAGGTCATAGCAAGCACCGTGACCACCTGCAAAGACAACAGGTTGCCTGACTCTACTCACCAGTTGCCTGACAACACAGGCTGAGGAAGAAGAGGAAGAAAAGCAGTGCAAGGAAAGGGTCTAGCTGACTGCAAGACAAAGCGATTGGTGCCCAAAACTGAGCTTCAGATGTTAGAATTCATGACCGCTTCCTTAAAATTCCACAAGAAAAGAATTCTGACCTTTGAGATACAAACAGGCACCGTGGACAGTTGGTTGCTCCATTAAGCCTGCCCTTGCGTGATGAGAGTTCAGAGAGCAGGGAAGGTACTCAAAAGTTAAGCTCTGTGTAAAATCGGATAAATAAGACGTACCTGGCAGAAACACTGCATCAAAGGTCTTGTCGAGATCCTTGAGTGCGATTGACTCCTCAATGAGCTTCTTCGTCTTCTCTGCATAGATCCAAAAGAGGTACTGAGCGATGCAACCACAAACCGTACTTCAAATGTCTGTATATCTGTCAGTTATCTCTGATTATTTTCTACAAGAAAACCAACAGTGATGTCTGTAACCTGTCAACAGGCACAAAGTACACGATCATCAGCCAGAGATGGCTCCTGATTGCAGGCTGTACCTTGCTTACACATTCAAGATGCCACTAGGATGTAAAAGCAAAGCATCAGGCTAGTGCAAAAGGCCGTTATGCTTGATTGCAAGGCCCTCCAGCAAACGGACTGGCACAGCACATACCAACATTCATGAAAAACGACATCGCAACCTCTCTGAGCCCTGGAATGTCCAAGAACCAGAAGTCAGAATTCAACCAATCTTACTTCAATAAAGCTCCAACTCACCATTGCCAAGAAACTTTTCACAATCGGGAGTCTTGAAACCCTCTGAAAGGCTGTTTGGATCTGCAAGAACAAGGATGACCAGTTACATAAGTTTGAAAGCGGACTCGTGCAAGTAATCCTGGCAATGCTGACACCAAATTGCAAGCACTGTGTCGCAAGGCGTCTTTGCAGGGGTCCTCTCGCTGGAAGGGCAGCTCTCAGAAGCCTCGTTAACCTCTGGCGACGTGGGGCAATGACCTGCTGAAACATGGTCAACTGCTCAAAAAGGATCACGACGTACCTACGGGAATCTTGCCACCCTTCACAGATGCAACCGTGACGTCAAAGCCAGCCTCCGTTAGAACAAAGTAGGGAGCCGCCAGCTCCTCCAACCTGAGATGCACAGATATACACCTCTGCAGTAAGCAATAAGTGTGGAGGCAGACAATTACTGTCCAATAGAGGACAAATACCACTGGGGTTGACCGGCATTCAGTCAGCCAAGAGACAGTTTCCACACAACGGCAAGATGAGCAGCTCACTGTCAAAGATGACATCTCCAATCAAGATAACGACTTCATGAACTTCACGCATGCACTAGGTTCCTGCACAGTGTAAAACCCGTGTCGCTGAGAACCCTTTAGAAGAGGGCTGGAACTCGGCAGAGGGGAAAGCAATGCACTGCCCAGGCAATTATGGACTGGTGCTTGTGGTGACTGACAAACAGCCCCACATGATAAGACAAGAAGAAAAGCTCACCACAAGGCCCCTAGCTTTTTGTCACCATTTCCAACAGGCAGCTTCTCACGGGAGGTTGAGAGGATCAACACGGACTTTGTCATAGCTGCCACACAAAGTAGAGTCCAACGTTCAAAAATGTCCAACTACTGCCTCCTTTCTGAATGAGGTGGGGAATCGAGAAAGCGCAGCAACACAGCCGTTGTCTTCCTGCTCAAACTTTGCAAGACCCTGGCAAATGCCTCACGGAAATCACCAAAGGGGCAGGCTGGAAGAAATTGTAAAGAATGCGCATTCCCCTCGACTCCGAGCTCTGCTTCCTCCTCGATCTGCGCCATTTTGCCAGCTGGCCCCGCAACGAACCTGGTCCGGTCCAGGACTTAGGGTTCGCTAGATTGAACGGTGCATGTGCTTCCAGCCACTCATCGACGGTCGATCGATCTTGACCAGGCGGGCCAGGGAGGTGCCCGTCCCGGCCTGGTGACCGTCCCGGGGGGGTTTTCACTAGCCGGTAGCTTTCCAGTACCTACCGTGATTACAACTGGTTGTTCCAGAAGCTTCATCTGCAGAGTTGGCGAGCCCAAAAGTTAGCCAAGTAAGCACGGTGCGTACCATAATAGGGATCACCGGCCACCCGGTGTATACAGGCTGGTCGGGCGCACAACTTTCCAGCCGGTGACTCCTCTTCATGATGAAGTCAAACAGCGAGCTCAAAACCAGTGCCCTAATTCGCTGCGCACCCTTCTTGAGCATTTTGAATGAGGCTTCTTCAGACTACAGGCTACAGCTCTAGCACAATGCACATGACTCGAGAGAGGGAGGCAAGGGTGACAAGACAAAGGCGGCCAGTCTGAGAGGCGAAGAAAGTTTGCCGATCCTGAATGTTGAAACGCATTAGAGCCTCCTTTTGGGAAGCCCTGAGTGCTTGAACGTTTGAACGAAGAGGCAATATCACAAATCTGATTAAGTGCGGCGTAGGTGCTTTTCGCAATCAGAAAAGACGAGGAGACGTCGTTATTAAGGAAAAGGAGTACGTCCAGGGCGTAGTCTGTCACGATGGGGGCTGATTATTATAGTCTGCTGAAAGTTCCAAAGACCGCCTCGGAAGATGAGCTTAAGAAGGCCTATCGGAAGATGGCCATGAAATGGCACCCAGGTACGCGGTCTCTGCTGGAATCATCTCGATTGCAGTGGATTCTGAGCAAGGAGGCTTCACATCCCCTCAAGTTGCGCAGAGCCACGGTGTAACTTTTAATGTGGGTTACAGAGCTCCCAAACTCATCTAGCGCTCTGTTTGTGCAGATAAGAATCCGGATAACAAGGCAGCTGCAGAGGCAAAGTTTAAGCAGATCTCGGAGGCATACGATGTAAGTATCTTTGCATCCTCCCTCCTGAGTCACTAGTACATCTTTGCACGCTGCATGCTGCTCGGCACCGGGCGAAGATTCATTCATTCATTCATTCATTCCTTGATTTTTCAAGGTAGTGCCCGAGAATGTGGTAATTTTTGCACTTTGCCGCTTTCTGGAGCACTTTCCTTGTACTCTAGTTGAGTAAGATGTTTTGTGTTTTGTAGTAGTTTTGTGATATCGTGCTGCGAAACAGGAGCTTTAGAAATGGTAATGCTTCGCGGTCAATGACCGCCAGCTTCGGCTTGATATTTTGGTTTGCACTTGTCCAAATTATTCTGTCTGCATTATTGACTGTGTCATTTGCTAATCTGCCTTATGCTTTCCTGGCCGCCTGGCCGCAAAAAGTAGTGCAGCAATGTTGCCGCTTGGGAAGGGACCTATTGACTCTGGGCGGGTGACTAGCTAGTTTTAAATTCGACTGGGAGGGAGCCTCATTGCTGACAAGACTTGTTGTGCTTTTATCTTTGCTTGCTGGCGGGCTTGCTTGCTGTTGCGTGCATGTCAGCAAGCCTCTTCCCAGAGTGTAGGGAACATCGTAAGAAAAGCTGTCTCTTTTGGTTTTGTTGATGAAGCTCAGGAGCAGGAGGCTCAACCATTTCTTCGATCTACGAAGGAAAGGGCTGTTGGTATGCACACGTGTTGAGATTTGCATGGCCCTCGGTTCATGCAGAGCTAAGGTCGGAAGGAGGAAGCTGTCAATTGGCCTGTGCACTGCAACCTTCCTAGTTGGTTCAGCGCTGTCACCATGGAACGTCTGGTTTTAGGGTGAATCTAGGGTTTTCCATGCATTCTGTTCCCCGCTGGCATGAAACGATCTGTAGCTGTGCCTTAGTGTCTGCAACCACTCACATGTGTGCATAACCTGGTACGTGCTGCCGTTTGGGTGGACGTGCTTTGATATTTTGCCATGGGCCTGTTTTTGGGTCTTGTTTCCGGCATTGTTGAGCAGGACGCCGTCAATTCGGGCTCAATCAACTCGCGAAAAGTTGCGGGGCGGTCTCCCTCAGGCAGCAATTTGCGCCGGTTGTGTTTTGCTACGTCAGAAAAGCTTTGGTCACTGATTCGGCCACTTCGTTATTGCCGACTTCTCAAGTGCGCTGTGATTGCTGCGTGCACTTTACTTGTCTGCATCACTTTACTTGTCTGCATCAAGAGTGGCATCCTGTCCTACTGATTTTCATTCACGTGGGCTGCCCGCTCGAGATTTGTCCAGACCCCAGGGCCAAGCTGAATGCTGGCAAGTAAATCATACCTGTTTCTCACCAGGGATTCAATCACACGCGGAACATGTGCTCTGTCAGAGTGCAAGTTCGTAGATTCATCCACATCACTGACCTTTCAGTAGAGCCTCATGACGGTTTGTATCAGTTTTCCTGCACCTTTGCTCAGGCTACCTTCTTCGACTCTCTGCACACAGCCTGCATACTCCCCCTCTTACCCCAATCTCTTGCTAAATGCACGTCTCCAATCAGCACTCAACGCGGCCTGCTCTCTGTCAGGTGCTGAGTGACCCCCAAAAGCGAGCTGTCTATGACCAGTATGGCGAGGAAGGCCTAAAGGGGGTTCCCCCTCCAGGGGCGGGGCCGAGCCCGTTCCAAAACGGCGGGGGGCCGGTGGCGCAAGCTTCCGGTACACCCCCCGGGCCGCAGAGGACATCTTTTCGGAATTTTTCGGGGGGTCCAGTCCATTCAGTTTTGGGGGCCACGGGATGGGAGCGATGGGGGGTGACCGGCGAGGGCCCCAAAGGGGGGGCAGCATGGGGGGAATGGATTTCGGCGGGTTTGGGGGGATGGGTCCGGAGAGCATGTTTGGGGGGATGGGGGGCAGTGGGGGGGGGCCGGCGCCGGGCCCAAAGAAGGCGCAGGCGCTGGAGAACAAGCTGCAGTGCTCGCTGGAGGAGCTGTACACGGGCTCCACGCGGAAAATGAAGATCTCTCGCCAAATCGCAGACCCCTCTGGGTGAGTCTCTGATCTTTCGCTGGCTGCTGGTTTCCTTATGCCGTTTCATGGTTGTCTTTGAGAATCGTTCGTGGGTTTACAATGAGACACCTCGGTGAGGTTGGTGGCAGAGGCTTTTCCAAAGGGCAGCTTTGTTACTCTGGCTATCATAGCGGGTACGGAATACCTGAACCTGATTGCAAGATGGTGACACAAACAAAGAAGATGCTGTGCTGAGCGCGAAGCTCATTCTCTCTATAGAAGCAGATTGAGCAGGCATTGCTGAGACATATCCTCAAAAGTCGGATGCACAAAGAAACCCGCAGTAAGCGGTTCTGGTCAGAGAATCTATCGTCCAAGCATCAAGAGCTTAGGCTGATGCAGAAAGTATACTCGTCTCTTATGCTTCCGTGAACGTTTGTCGATGGGCACACGGTATCTACTGTACTCGGTGGGGGGTGTCGAGCAGCTTATTTTGTCTAGACGAGCAGGTTGTTTGCAAGAAGGCGCAGAAACTCTGGAATGCGACGAAAGAAAGATCTTGCGAAAATCGACGATGGTGGTGAAAGCTGCTTCCTGAATCTTTAGTGGCTTGGGCCCCATAATCTGGCATCAACCCTCGTTATAACCCGTAGAGAATCATCGCCAGGAATGTGTAATGATACGAGATCCGAGCAAGAGCCAGTTCTACTGGACTTGGGAGCTTGTGCGGAACCCTCGTTGCAATACCGCTGGTTGGACCCGAACTGTGCGTCTTACCTAACCTTACAGTAGAGTTGCACAATTAGCCAAGAGGGTACGGTGGCCTTTGCCGTTCTTCACCAGCGAAGACCCCGTCAGTCGCGGGCTCCTCCTAAGAAGTGGATCTTGACAAGTCCCGTCTTCCTTGTTGCAGAAAGACGATGACAGTGGACGAGATCCTGACGATCGAGGTGAAGCCCGGGTGGAAGAAGGGCACCAAGATCACCTTCCCCGAGAAGGGCAACGAGCAGCCGGGCGTCGTCCCCGCCGACCTCGTCTTCATCATCGACGAGAAGCCGCACCCGACGTTCAAGCGCGACGGCAACGACCTCGTCACCACGCTTCGGATCTCGCTCGCGCAGGCGCTTGGCGACTACACGATCTCGGTGAAGACGCTCGACGGGCGGACGCTCACAATCCCCGCGAATGAGGTGATTACGCCAACGACAGAGAAGGTGGTGCCGCGGGAGGGGATGCCGATCGCCAAGGAGCCCGGGAAGAAGGGCAACCTGCGGGTCAAGTTTGACATAAAGTTCCCGGCGCGGCTCAGCGCGGAGCAGAAAACGGCGATCGGGCGCGCTCTCGGCGCGCCGACGTAGTGCCGCGGTCGAGTGTGTAGTGGTTCTATTTAGGAATAGGCTCGTGTACCAGTAAGAATCCAGCGGGCCGGCTAGATTTAGAACATCTGGGCGGTGCGCCTGCAAAGATGCTGTATAGATAGGCCCTGAGAGTCAATGGACATCTCGCCCATGGTTACATTTTACTGCACGGAGAGCGGGGCCTGGACTTGGCGTGGATTTGCGCTGTCAGGTAGGGAATGCAACTAGGACAACGAGTATCTGTGCAGCAGACTTGGGATTATATATCCCGTACATTTAGCTGACTTCTTAAGAGTCCAGCTTCTGCAGTCAATAATCTTGTCATTCCCACTGAAGAAGGCGCTTGGTCTTGTCCGACATCGAGCCTATGCAGGCTCCACGTTTGCACAGCCCATGCAATGTTCCGTACATGAATAATTCAATTGTGCCATGTGCACCTTGAGGGTTCATTGCATACAGCGCTAGTTACGTCGAAGCTGTCATACCTGTGCCCAGCTCGAGACAAGGTGACTATTGGTTTGATAAATCGAGTCACTATAGCTAGTACGGTCAAGGATTGCACACAGGCCGCCCCTAGCCGGCATGCAGCCTCAGTACAAAGATTCGTGGTAATCGCATGAACGGAAGCCTGGTGTCTGAAGGGCTTCAACAAAGCCTGCAATCAGCTTCAATTACGAATTCGGGACAGCTACTGATTTGAGGAGCATGCGGTAAATAGTGCATCATGTTTAACGACTGAGCATGGCCGGCCTGTGGCTGCACATGTATGCCGGCCCAGCGCTATAGCTGCAATTTCGCATATGGCGCCGCTGATCCAACAATTCCGTGCATGCATGTTGGGTGTCCGAACGTCAACACGACTTCCAGTCCGATCGCATGATCGGCCACCGGAACCCCCTGGGCTCTGGGCTCAGATGCCCGGCACAGCATGCAAGCATGCTCCGATGGCGAGATTGTGTTGGCATCAGTGTACAATATACACATGGCCGCACGCGTGCTTCTCTGGAGACGTTGGGAAGTACTTCTGTTGTGATTTACGCTCTGCAAATGGTAATGTCAGGCTGTTGAGACGTCTGAGAGCTAAGCTGATCGCTGGAGCAAAAGCTTGTAAGCGGCGCAGTTCAGCACAAAGCAGACAACGGTTGCCTCCATGCAGTCGACACTGCCGGCACACCGTCAACGCAAATCCAATCCGGGTCAAGCCTGGGAGAAAAAACTCAATCGAGCTACTCCTTCCCCGTTTGAGAGGCCGACTCTTTGCCCCGGGCTGCAACCAAAGTTAGATCAGGGTCGTCTACAACATCCTCGATCTGCCCCCCTACTTTGTCAGTCACGTTTGCCCCCCCGGAGCCGTTCTGGTGCGACTCTCCATGCCCGTTACCCCCGGAAACATGGTCATGCGCACCGTTCCCCACCGTTACCTCTTTATTAGTTTCTATTTTATGCGATGTCGAAGCCTCGACTTCGTGGGGGGGTGGATGCTCCGCAGAATCAGCGGTCGAGTGACCCCCCGTCACCGGGAAGTTGTCTTCCCCGGTGGTTGTGAGCGGGAGGCCGGGGAGGGGGGGCTTGGGAATGCCCATTTCGGGGGGCTTCACAATTTCGTCTTTGTGCGCTTGGAGCCCAGCCCAGCGCGCCAGGTCGATCCATTGCTGCAAAGAAAGAAAAACTCCTCTCTACTTCGACTCCTGGTTGATGAGCGGATGAAGGAAGCAGCGAAGAAACTGGACGGGCACTCCACGTACGACGCAAGAAGATCCGCAGGGAATAGGAAAGAATCGTGCAACAGCAGCGTTTGTTCGACTCGAAGTAGGAGAGACCTCATCTCATAGCTGGCCCAGCGTTGTGCAAGCCCAGAACAAACGCACTGAAGCAGCCGCGTGTTTAAACCTTAGCCCGGCCGACGATCCACGAATGTCAGCCACTTTGTGCGCGCGGAGCGGAAAGGAGCGTAGGCTTACCGCAGTGCCCCAAAAGGAGTTGACTGTGCGTGCGGTGAAAGAAAGCGCGGCGCCGGCGAGCGGCCAGGGCGCCAAATAGTAGTCCGCCACCCAGTTCTCGACGATGCCGGCAATGGCCTGAAGCCAGCGAAGCGAAAGTTAGTGTTGACCGTTATGGAGACCGGAAGTGCACTGTTGGATCAGGCTTTTGTGAATGAAAACAAGTCCGTCAGAACGTTTCATTAGAAACCATGTTTGCGACGGGTCGACCGAGCAGCACGGCGCTCAACGAGCTGTTCCGGGGAAGACGGAAAGCCGGAAACGCTGCCGAGAGTCGGAAACGCTGCTCAAACCTGCCTCCATTCGAGGTACCCTACGTGCGCGCACAAATTATACGGATCCCGACTCCTAATGACACGTGGCAACTGGCCCCGGCGGCGCCGCTTCTGCGGCCTCTCACCTGGTACCGCAGGTTGGCTGACGTGGCCAAGAAGGAGGCGTACACGAAGGCGGTCTTGAACACCGGGGAACGCTTCACGGCGTCAGGCTTCTCGACCTGGATCAAGCAAAGCCGACGTCAGGATTGGGAGAGCGTCTCTTCAAGAGCAAGGGAAGTGAACGACCATATTTTAGGCGCAGAGAAAGCAGAGTCGTCCTTCCTGAAGGCAGCTTTCCCGACAGCACGTGCTCGAAAGCGAGTCTCATTATTGTCGAGTTCTTGGTTGGCGGCCGCGTCTTGCTCCAAATGAGCAGCTTGTCGAAATTTCGAGCCACCGAGGGACATGGAATCACGCAGGACTCTACCGTCGTTCGTTCGTTATACGGTACGATGCTCCTCAATCTGCGGGTCTCGAAGCTCGCTGATGCAATGATCGCACTGTACGGCAACGGTACAGACCACGACAAGCGCCCCGACCACGCATCCAAGACTCACACGCGCGCACTTCCAATCACACCCCTGCCTTGAATTTACAGCTTTTACGTCCTTTAAAAACGAAAAGCTCGCAACTCCGAAAGCGCAAAAACCCGTACCTGCGGCCGTAGCCGCTCCTGCAGTCCCTTCACCCCGTTGGTTATCGCGACGGTCCCGACGCTCGACACCGCGCCGACCAGGAACAGTTTCGCGCCCCCCAGGAGCACTGCGAGCGCGCGCTCGCGCAGCCCCCAGTGCCGCCCGAGGCTCCCTCGCTGGAACGCGTTTTCGGGGAGGCCGGAGAAGAGCGTCGGGAACCCGCTGGCCCCGAACTCGTCGACGGGCGTGAAGGAGAGCGTCGGCGCGGGGAGCCACACCGTGAAGAAGTCGACGACCGCGCCGCGGGACACGTCAGTGATGACGTACTCCAGCTCGCCTGGGGGTTGGGGGACCGATATGATTATGATTATGGTTATGATTATGACTATGATTATGAGTATTATGACTTATGATCATTCGGCAAGTGGGGGCACAAAAGGGAGGTGGAATGAGAGGTTCTTTTGCGAATCGTACGGGGAAAACTGAACATGGCCGCAGCGCAGTCGCGAGATTGAAGGAATGGAAGAGGGGTTCTAAAGGCCTTGAACTTAAGTGGTGGAAGGGATTAGGACTTGAGTGACGTTTCCTCGAGATGCTCGAAACGCCCTTGCACTGGAGTGGAACAATCGATTGTTAGTGACCGGTGTGAGCGACACAGCGACTCGTTGGCGAGTGTGTGGGATTAATGGAACTCGCAAAACGCGCCAGCAGGGGGGTGCGCTTACTCCAGAACTTGGCCCCCCGCTTCTGGTACTGTGCCGCGAGCGTGGTGCTGATGGAGATGGCCTCCTCGATGCCCAGGCGTTGAAGGAAGCGGGGGTCGGCCAGCCTGCAATATTATCGAGCGTGAGCCGTGGATTCTGACACTCTCGAGAAACCACCCAACAAGCAAGCGGTCAACACATAGATCACTTCTTTAGCAATGATGATGCGCATATACGCCAGATGATCGTACACGCCGCGTAACCGAAGACCCGGGTAGGTCGTCTAACGGCAAACGTGAAGCCCAGCACGGCTGTCAGACAGAAAAAAGCCTTGGCCACAAGTTTTCTTCGTCATCCCACTTTTCAATCAAGCAGTTCTGCTGTCCCGCAATATCGCAGACTTTGGCAGCGCAAGCTTTGACAACTGTCCCTCCAGGTTTCCAACGCACGCCCCGACCCGCCATTGCCTCCGAAGCGCCTTTCCCCGGTTCGGATCCCCGGGCACTCACCACCTCTCGCGCAGGCCCTGGAAGCGCTCGGTGAAGAAGGCCATGAGCGGCGAGCTCTGCAGCTCGAAGAAGTCCTTGAGGACGTCCGGTGGGATGAGCCCCTGGTCCAGCCCCGCCTGGATGTCCGTCGGCAGCGCCTCGCGCACGCGCCCCGCCGCGTCCATCACGCGCGCCACCTCCGCACGGTCGAAGCAGTTGCGCGTGCACACCTTGGTGCCGGAGTACCTGCCGGGGGTGGGAAGGCCAGGGAAACTGAGCTGATTTGATTGCGCGCTGCTCTCCGCACTTCATATTGTCTCCTCGTTCCAACTGGCTGTGCACACACACCTTGGAGCGTGAGGACTGGCTGGCAAGGAGAGGGGGTGAAGGGAGATGTGATATATCTGTTCAAAATCCTCTTCTGCTTTCAGCTAAAGAGTTTCACCAGATTTGCGGGGTTGAGAGTGGCCTCAGCCCCACTCGGCACGTCCGGGGGACCCCTCGGACCGTCCACAGGCCACACATGGATCGAGCGTTTCAAGCCGTATAGTGAGTGGGACAGCGAAGCAATTTTCGCCCAAATCACACCACAGAGGAAGAATAATCTCAACCGATATCTGCCCTTCTTCCATCTACCAGCGCTTTACAACCTCGCGCTCACCAGAGGAAGTCCGCGACTGGCACGTCCCCCTCCTTGCGGTTGTACTGCGCCTCGGGGTTGAGCATGACCACCGTCTGCCCCTGCCGCTTCAGCTTGCCCGCCAGCCGCGCCGGCACGCCCTGCCCGCGCGAACCGTACGCGGTGTGACTGGCGCCCATTACGGCGATCATGACCCCCATGTTGCCTTGCGCGTTGATGCCCTCGGCGATGGCGAGGGCCATGCTGTAATCTACGACGGAACGAGCCTGGGAGAGGAAAACCAGGAGAGGTTGTTACGATTGCCAGTCTGAGGATATGAGAAGTTGTCGAAAAGCACGTGAGGCTGCAGTGACTCTAAATCAAAGAAGTGAGATTTTTCCAGTGTTCGTCTCGCACAAAGTCTGTGCTTGGAAGCTTCGCCTCTAACCCTTTGTTTCCCGTAGTGCACGGCTGACACCCTTCATGTTGGGACCCGGTTTGGAAGCCTCTGAGGAGCCGACTTCACAAGCCGTTGTACCGTCTGCACTTCCAGCTGTCAATATACTGATTGATCGTGGGTCAACGTATTCGCAGTCAGTTCGCTCTCGCCGCTTCACGCAAACGACCGGACCAATCAACAACCAGGGTATCCTCGTTTGCGACTCCTGGGTGCGACCAACGACGGTCTCGAAATCCGCACCTGGGCAAAGCGGAAGTAGGTCCTCTCCAGTGTGATCGACGCCGAGGGCGGCCCCGGCATGTCTCCGGCCACCTGGATCGCGCTTGTGTTCAGCGCGAGCAGCCCCCCGCCTTTCTTCGGAGGTGCGTACATTTTCCGGTCCTCAGGGGAAAGACCCTCGACGCCGTCGATAAGAACGGTGCGCAGGATCTGGGAGGGCACGCCGCACGCGTAGAGGCGGACGCCGTTGTCGCGGCAGTACTTGAGGAGGGGCAGGTAGCGCAGGAACATCTCCTCGGGCCAGTAATACACGTATGCTCGCAGCTGGGCGTCGGTCAGCCTGGGGGGGAAATCAGAATTCTATGAGTGTCTGATGAGGAGATAGAAAGACCCGTTGCAAGTCTGGTATGTGGGGGGGGGTCAGGGCGGGAGCACCCTCATGAGGGGTGACAGGGCGGTATTTGATGGAGCTAATGGAAGGGTCGGAATAGTGGGGAGCTTTGGTCGAAAGAGCACGAATCCATCGGGCGCCGTCAATGCCTAAGAGGCGCTTCATGTGCAGCATACAGAGGTAGATAAACACACGGGCGGGCCCGATGCTGGAGCACTGGACAGTAGTTCTGCCACATCATTCTGTTGCGAAGGGCGTCCATTCCGACTTGAATGCAGATTTACAGAGACTTTCGCAAGGCACAGTGAATCATTGAAAATATAAGGGCGCAACCTTGGCGCATAAGCTCGCTGACCTGTAGCCCATGTACCAGTTGAGGGGTTCCTGCAGCGTGCGAGGGAAGACTTGTAGGGCGATGGTCACAGGCCGCCTCTCCTTGAAGCACAGATTGCGCAGCTTGGACGTAATTTCAAGGATGAGCTCCTGCAGAGGGGGGAATGTGGGCGACGGTCAGCGCGAGCTGCAATCTCATGGAGACAACCAGAACGGCAAATCACTTGCTGTTGATGGTTGCACATGAGAATTGTCAGCTGGCGTCAGCTAGGGCCAGCAAGCGGCGAAATCCGGATGCCATCGAGAGTCCTCAAAGTGCAACCACCTTTTCTCTCGAAGACAGCCGGCCGCACTAGTACATAAAATCCCGAGCTATGCCTGACAAGCTAACATCAAACTACATGGACGACTTAAGTTGTAGTGCACTGAACACTTTGACAATGAAGCTGCAAAACAACCTCGGATTAGATATTTGCAAAGCCGGACAGAGGCTTATCGTGTTCCAGTGATGGAGAATTCAGAAGCAACCCCCTTGGCGTACCGAACCTTCAGCACCCGCCCACCTGATCCTCCGCCACAGGCACCCGTTCCGTGGTCCCCAGATACACCACCCTGCTCCCCGCCAGCTTTTTCCACACCCCCTCCTTCGACGTCAGACTCGTGGGCTCCCCCAAAACCGACGAGTCATACACCCTAGACTCGGGACGGGGAGGCGCCTTCGCGGCAGCCGCCTCCGCCTCGGCCTTCATCTTCTTTCGCTCAGCGCGGGTGGTAAGCCGTCTAGGGGCTGGGGTCGGAGTGTCGCTGCGAGCAGAGGTTTGCCAGGCGGCGGCGGTGAGGAGGACGGCGCCGGACGCTAGAAATGCACGCCGCCCAGCGGAGGGGGCGGGGGTTTCACAATCAGGGTTTTCGTCTGCTTCTGGCGGAGCCGCTTTCACACCAGACTCAGGGTTTTGGTCCAGTTTTGGCGGAGGCGTGTCCGAAGAAGCAAGCTCAGACCTCACCGCAAGCGGCTTCCATGAGCGGCCTCGCAGAGAGGAATGCGCCGCATATCGCCCCAACGGTTTTCCACCAAAAGCGTTCAGCTTGCGGACAGCTCCAGAGGCCCCCAGAAACGAGCAGCTTGGCCAGCTGCTGTGCCCACCCCCCCGGAAAGATTGCATCCCCCCCATCAACCCACATTCTACGTTTGTTTGCCCCGTTCCATGGGCATTCCTCCCGATCCCACACCCTTCCGCCTGCAGCCAAGCGCTGCGCGTGGTGGCGGCGGTGCTGCTGACCGCCATTCTGGGGCTCAAATTACGCCCTTGACGTCACTGTCAACGTCAGCCATGCCTCCGGTGCCTGGCAAGCGCCATGGCGGCCCGCCAGCGGGGGGCACCTGGGAAACGAGCAGAAGGAAATATCTGATCTCAGGAAGAATGAGAAGAACCTCACAGGAAGCCATTGACGCCCTGCAAATGGGGCGTACGTGACCCCCCAGCTGGCGAGTGTGCAGCCACGGGGAAGCAATCGCCACGTGGACCACGTGTGCATGAGGTGGATTCTGGATAATGACCCTCTCATGGAACGCTTAAAAAGCTCGCGTTGCAGGGGCAGGTTACTAGAGGGGCACGGACTTCTAGATGGTCGCCAGGATCTTGGTTGATCGCAATTTTCGGGCGCAGGTGGCGGCGCTGCAGAACCCGAAAACCGTGCTCTACTCAGCCTGAAGATTCGACAACCTAACGATTTTGCAAGCTGCTCACATTGTTCCTCGTGAAGCGCGCCATGGTGAGGAATGGCGGTCGAAGTTCAACTGTACAAAGCAGGCCAGGCCTGAGGAAGAAGATGGATAAGCAGTGCTTTTCTGATTTTGGTCAACTGAGGACAGCTCAGCCTTGCATGTGTGATACTGGGAGTTCGTTTAGTCCTTTGGTGCCTGCAAAGTGCTGATTTTTGTCAAGGGGCGACCTAGCTGATTGAATTGAGAGGAACATGGGCAGCTATGTGCGCACGGCAAGAGAAGAAAGCAGCGACGTTGAAGGCAAGTGGGTTTCTCTGCTTCTTCATTCTGTTCTGGGGATGCCACCAATGTGGTGGCAGTAATGCGCGCGCTTGACTGGTCGCAAAGCCCGATAAATTTGCTATGCTGAATAACTTGCAAAACTTGAAAGTGCGGGGAAGAGGATACGGTGGAATCGGCTGCATAGGATAAACATACATTCAAGGGTGCACCAGTGGTGCGGTCATTCACCATGGTCAGGACCACTCAATTAGATTTAAGCATAATCACTGTGCGCCAGCCAATCGTGACTCGTCGTTGGCAGACCACCACTACCGTTCTTCTGCCAATGGAGTTCATCATAGTATCTCTTAGGTGTACAAGATGCTGGCAGTTTGCGAACGATCATGTACGTATTAATGAGCCCCGCCCCTCCCAGCACACTTCAAGATGCCTCAATTGCTCAATTGGAACACACCCCTTCTCAGGATCTTTCGAGTGTTGAATTCTGTGCTCCACAGATGGTGTTGGGACGTCTGCCCCTTCTCACAGACTGCCTCTTGAAGTCGACAACGGCCCCAACAAGGCCCCTGATGCCAGTGTGTCCGAGGATGGGGACAACGAGGCCCTGTTGAGGGGGGAGTTTCACAGGCGGTCTGCCTGGAGGGAACTGCTTTACCTGGCGGGATTTGTGGTAACATCGGTGGTGCTATTATGTGGGGTTGTGGGAGGGGGAGTATTCTTATATCTGGCAGTGTCAGCCGAGTCGGGGTTTCATGACAGCATACCCGGTGAGTCGACTGTGCTGAGCGTTTAGCAATCCTGAAGGAGATAACGGTTTTCAAGAACACTTTGCCGAGTTTTTGTAGAGAAGGCGCCCAATCTGTTTCCAAGTGTCGCGCTGTAGATTTTGTGAGTCAGTGGTCCAATGTGCAGGAGATTGATGCAACGCCTGACCACTCACATGGAAAGACTGGAACGTCTTTCCTTTCAAGGTTCTACTGGTAGGAACGTGTCTGCTGCTCGCCACTAGGACACAGGGTTCTGCACTTGCTGATCTAATACTTCGTTCTCGACCTTTCCTTCACCAGGGCATCTGGCGACGTCCCGCCTCAACCTCAGCGCCCGGCTGCCAGATTCGCTCTTTCAAGGGGTCCCCCGAAACCTGCACTACACAGTAGATGACAGGGACATCACGGCCACAGAGACTGTTTTCAATTACAACAACTTCTTCGAGTTCTCGACAGACAAGAGGGTGAGTCACTTCCTTGCACTTAAAAACCCACTTCCTTGGTAAAATCTGTCAGCAAACTACGTAGACTCCTGTAGGCTTTTACACAGCAACCCAACCACGGAAGATGTCGAACTTGCATCTCCCAAAGTGTACTGGTTCTGAGTTCTAAAGCGGATGGTGCAGTCTGAGAACAGCTGAGGAGTGGAGGGAAGGACTTTTCCCAAACGAGTTTTGTGCGCCAGTCGCTCTGGACAGACGGCCTTTTTTCAGTAATGAATCAGCTTGTGCTATGTTTGTTTTTGACTTGATTCACATCAATGTCAATCTCAACTCACATCAAATCATTGGGGGATTGAAGCTTAGGTCTCTTCATTTTGATCAAACCCCCTTTGAAGCACGCAGTTTTCTAAGTGTGTCTGTTTCGAGGTTCAGCAAATATGCCATCGTTGGCATTTTCCCGGATTTTGACTTGTGGCTTCATCTTGCTGGTCCGCGGCGCCTGCAAGTAGGCTACGAACTTGGGCCAGTTCGCAGGTCGATGTTCGCCGCCCCCGCTTCCCAACTGGTCGCCTTCGAGCTGTCACCGCAACTTCCAGAAGCTCTGGCCCGCATGATGTCACATTCCAGCTTCGTCTCTCTTCCAAAGTATGACCCAGGATCGACCCCCTAACCTTACCTCTCCCCATGCATGCTCCTGAAAGGTTTGTACCGTATAGCAGTGCCTCAAAAACACTGTTCGACAAAGGGGTTTCGAACACAGTTCGTTTCCCCGCAGGTAGCTAAGTTCATCGGGCCTCGTGCAGCCGCGATCGGGATGACGCCCAACCCTGCCTGGACCGTGCGCTTCGACGGGCTGACGCAGGACGGGGCCTCCTTGGACGTGAACCTCGCCACCATGCTCGCAAACACCGGCCCGCTAGAGGAGCGCCTCTACAGGCACAGGTCGGGCTCGGGGCCTGGTTTTTCAAACTTCCTGGGTTTGAAAAATGGCAGATCTCAACGAAGGGTTCGGAGCCCACGATTCACTGTTCGTCTCAGGTGTTCTTTGTGTCCGGAAGATGCCAGCGGGGGCGGAAATGGGCTGGCACCTCAGCAATTAGGTCGCCCAACTCGCGCTTATGCTAGCTGCAGGGCCTTAACGCAGCCAAGATTGTAACAGTTCTCGTAAGATCCTTGCTGGATCTGCCCGCGTTGCTTGAATCACTTGCAAATCATAGAGTTCCCGGGGGTGCGAAGAAGAAAAAGTGTGCTTGCGACGGTTTCCTCGGCTCCGAGGGGGCGCCGTGCCGGACCAGCTTCACCTCTCTTGATTCTGAGAGTCGCTACAGAGCACGAGCGTTCTTCCTCTCGCATGTGCCGCTCCCCGCCTGGTGCGTCGGATCACTCCAAACGTCAGAACGATCGAGGGATCCGCGGTTCACGGCCATTATACCGGTTTGCATTGTCCCCCGTATCCAACTCGGAACCGCCCACTCGCTCGAGTCTCCTGACTTTACTCCCTTTTATGCAATCGAAACCGAATTTTTTTCGAGCGAGCACCTTGCGGAGCAGTTTGTCTGCCTATTTACGGGCCGTTCTCTCATCGCCTTCATTTTTCTCTTCCCCCCAGGTGCGTCGAGGCGTGGAGCATGGTCGTCCCGTGGATCGGCTTTCCCCTCTCTCGGTTGCTGGACATGGTCCCCCCCTCCGCGGACGCTCAGTACGTCCGCTTCGAATCGTATGCCGTCCGAGCGACCGCCAGCGCGTTCAGCGCGTACCAGTGGCCGTACGTGGAGGCGCTCACGCTCGCGGAGGCGCGCAACGAGCTCGCGTTCGTGGCCGTGGGCATCTTCCAGCAGCCGCTGCCGCCGCAGGTTGGTGTTTTAAAAAAATGGCGTATCTCTGGATTCGAGAAGAGGGTAAAGCGCCATACATTATGAGTAATGATTGACTGAAAGCGTAAACCCAGGGTTAAAACGCTCCGTTCGTGGCTGTCGGGATCTTCCAGCAGCCGCTGCCGCCGCAGGTGGGCAGTTTGTGCAAAATGGAAGTCAAGACGCAGTCTCAAGATCATCTGGGATTGAAAGTTTGATGTATCTGAGTGTGCGAAAATTATATGCTTTTTCCTCGAAGCATTGATTTTTGACGGTCTTCTGCGCGAGGCTCGCCTTCGTGGCCGTGCGCATTTCTCAGCGGTTTCTTCATGAGAGTCCAGAGACGTCTCCTAATACTCTGATGACAATCAAACATGGGCTGCTTTCAATCGCTGTCTTGAGTATGAAATATCCACCCGGCTCTCATGAGTCCTCAGTGAGAGCCGCTCTACTCTAAACATGCACAGTGTACGGTAGATGATGTAGTAGCTAGGCCCCTGCAAGAAGGGCTCAGTTTACAGGACGCAAATCCAAGGTCGTCAGGATTAGCAGGGCTTGGACAACTGAAGTATCTGGCCTAATCCAAACAAGCAGACCGTGGAGCAGTCAATGGGTTTGTCCCTGCCTCCTTAAGAGGGACTGTTTCTTCAGTTTTGCCACTCCTTGAGAACCTCCAAAGCATTCTTCGGCCACCTACTACTTACATGCTGTCTGCGGTCTGGTAATGTATTCCGTCTCCGCACACTTCAAGCACCGGCGGTTTTGCTGCAGAATGGCGCCCCTCTGCGGCTGGTGATCCCCTGGAAGTACGGCTTCAAGTCGATCAAGACGATCGTGCGCATCAGCTACACTGCGGAGCGGCCGCGCACCTTTTGGGAGAAGGCGGACGGGGTGGAGTACGGCTTCTGGGCGAACGTGAGAGTCGTTCTGAGACCGCGCATTTGCTTTTTAGAATATTTCAAAAGACTGTTCCGAGCAACGTGGGGTTCGAAATGCTTGAGGGAAAGCTTTTCTTGCCGACAATCCGTTTTGGTTGGATATTACAGACTGTCCTTTGAAGCCCGCCGTTGCGGCGCGATTCAATTTGCGGGGCGTTTACGAGTTTGCGGGACTCTGGTCAACACGTGTTGCCTTTGCCTTTCATCTCAATGCCATTTGCGCTTTGGTTCTTCCTGACTGCTCACTGTCGAGCTGCTTGCGGCCATAAGTTGCCCCGTTGGAGCCACCAGCCCGACTTCGTGAAAGCTTGCCTTCCACTTGCACAAAAACGGGCAAACATTTGGAACCCATGCGGAATTGTTCTCCTTTGCTAGGTGAATCCGGACGTTCCCCATCCCCGGTGGTCGCAAGCGTCGGAATGGTCCATACCGGACGGGCCTTCCTTGCCGACGAAGTTTTACAACGGCTATGCTGAGTTCGTTGAACATTTGTACGATAAATTACAGGACGAGAATCTTTTTTTGAAAAGATAGACATGATTGACTTTGACGAGTTCTCTTCTTACGGCCCCGCATTCAAAACAATCGACGTCAACTCGAAAGAGGGATTGCCATGCGATGCAGGACTGTCTGCATTAGAATCACTGCGCGTTGCTAAATTATCCTTGATGGCTGCATGCCACGTTTTTTATCAGAGCCTTGCATGGGGCGGCTAGAGCTCAATCCCCGTTCCTGCACTGCAGCTCGGTGTTGCACGACGACGTACAATGGAGTACATGTACATGCCACTGATCGACGGTTCTGTCGGATGCCATTGTTACGCGCGGGCCAGTGACACATGTGCGCGGCACATGCATGACATAATGAGCATCAACTTCCATGATTGCATGCATGCACGCACCAGGATTAAGTGTTGATCGGATCGGTTTTGCAATCGACTTTGGAGCATATGTAACTCTCACCATGAAAATTTCTGTACCATACGCGGGCCCCTTAAAGCTGCGCGCGCATGGTCGATTGCATGCATCTGCCGCGGGTTAATGAACAACGGTGCAGATCTATTGACCACGATCTACGCCTCGTGGATTCTGCGCACTTGCACTAAGTCGACGGCAGCGGCCCGCGGCCATGATTGTTACAAGGATCGACACTCCATGCTCTTAAGAGATAGCTAGAGCCATGCAGATTTGTAGACGGTGTGTGAGCATTGAAGGTGACTGCATGGATTCATGATCACGGCCATGGATCGAATCAAATCGAATTGAATCAACTCAATCATGCCGCCGGGCCGCAAAGCCATCGAATGCAATCTGCCTGCTTAGTAGCAAGTCAAACCTGTCACCGTCACTGTAAAAGCAGTGTGCGCATAAGCTGGCATGAGGCGCCTGGTCTGCAATATTAGCAGCTGCACTAGCTCTACCACACAGTTCTGACATGCTCTAGGTAAATCAGCAAGTATCCTGGGATGTAGGCCAGAGCGGTGTAACGGTGATAGAAGTCAGCAAAGTCCATTTGAAAATCAGCCCAAGTACGAGCCCAAGTCTAGTGCATGAAAATCAGACATGAAAATAAGAAAGCAAGTGGCTTTGCTTCGATGAGAAGCGGACCATGTGAGGACAAGGACTCTCAAGCAACAGCATTTTTAGTGCGCAGCTTCGGACAGGTGAACAAAATAAGCCCTCAGGCAAACGACTGGGTGCACGGAAACTTCTTCTAACTACCCGCTTCGAGGCGTGTTGGGTCCGGTGGGGGGGTCCCAAATGAAACGCGTCTTGGGGCTTCGTATTGACGGGCTGTATGCCCCATACAAGCCATCCGTCGCCGAATCGTCCTCAATCTGCATTCGGAAGAACCTTCGTCACATTCACCGCAGCGACAATGTGTCTGAGCCACAATCGCTCCATAAAAGCAACGCCACGCCCAGCCTGGTCTTGACTTTACTCCGCTTCTCCAATCCTACGAAACCTGTTTTAGATAAGCAGTCGTCGCAAGAACCATTCTCCAGCACTTCCAGCAAGAAGGCGCAAGTCCAACCTCACCTCCACTGTCAGATGGCTGATGCCCGCTGACTTGAAGAGGTTGGCGATGCGCAACCTGATATCCTGCTTGTTCACCCGCTGCGTGACCCTGACGCACAGGCTGCCCACCGTCATCTTGGGGGTGAAGCTCCAGAAGTGGGCCTTCCGACAACTTAGCACGCCCTCCATGTCGTCCACCTGGAGGACGATCGCCAAAGATGTCAGGTTCTTGCAGATGCCAGAACAGCTAAGCGAGTGTCAGGAACAATCTCGAACCCAGCTTCATTGGGACGTTAGACAGACCATTGAATTATTCGCTAGGAATCAATCGCCAGATACTGTACAAGCACGAAAAGTGAGTCGATCTGGGCAAAAACTGCCACCGTGCGCAACTTGCGAGCCAGCGAAGCCAACGCGAGCAGCGCGTGCCACCGAAAGATTCGAAAGCCTCAATCCGGATCGGAGTTCAGCACACCTGATAAGTAAACCACGGACAAGACCGCAAATCGACCTCCAGCTTGACCTTGCGGCTGCGCTGCTGCTTCTGACCCTGCGCCTTCAATCATCTCCGCTTGACTCACTCTCAACCTACGGACAGAGACTTCCCCGACGGCTAGGAAGACGTTGCTCACCGTGCCGAGGTGCGTCTGCACGTCGCGCTCGAGGCTGGCCGGCACGCGCTGCAGCAGCAGCTCCCCTGTGGTCTGCAGCAGCGGGATGACGCTGCTCACGATGAGCAGGCTGATGAAGATGCTGCACACCGGGTCCGCCAGCACCCACCCGCAGTACTGGATAAGCGCCGTGGAGATGATCACCCCGACGCTCCCCAGCGTGTCCGCCAACACGTGCAAGAAGATCCCCCGCATGTTGTGGTCCTCGTGCGAGTGCCCGTGATGGGCATGGCTGTGGGTGTGAACAGGCTCCTCCAGCTTCACGTGGTGGTGTAAATGCGAACTGGGCTCCTGCGGGGACGCGCTCCGCTCCTCGTGACCGTGCGCGTGCCGCCCCACCCGGCTCTTGATCTGGAACTCCTCGTCGCCATGGGCGTGCCCGTGGCTGTCCCCCTTCGCCGTTCCTCCCCCCTGAGCAAGGCTCGATTCGCTCCACCGACTCTCCGGCGTGCCCGGCTGCTGCTCATGCCCATGCACTTGAACGTGCCCGTTCTCCCCGTCTTGCGCAGCAGCCCCCTCAGTGTGGCCGTGAGCGTGATCGTGGCTGTGGCGATGGTCGTGACTGTGACCGTGATCGCAGCTCGGGCTGTGCTGGTGCGCGCCAGGGCTGGGGGAGTGCTCGTGCTCATGGTGTGAATGCTCGTGTTTTGGGTTCGAATGTTCGTGCTCGTGGGCATGCCCGTGCTCGTGTAAATGCTTGTGCTCGTGGGCATGTGTGTGATCGTGGGAATGCTCGCTTCTGTTGTGTGCATGCCCACCGTCATGGTCATGATCATGGTGTAAATGGGCTCCGTGCTCGTGGTCGTGCTTGTGGCCATGATCGTGATCGTGGTGTGAATGCCCCCCGCTGCACGTCTCCCCGTGCTCGTGACTGTGCGCATGTCCCTCGTGCGCATGCCCGTGCTCGTGATCGTGCTGGTGCGAATGATCGTGGCCGTGTGAATGCCCACCGTGGCTGTGTGAATGCCCCCCTCCGCAGTCGTGGCCGTGCGAGTGCATGTGCGCCTCGTGGAAGAAGAGCAAGCCGATCATGTTGACCAAAAAGCCGCCGACCGAGACGAGCATCAGCTTGTCGGTGGAAATGTCGGGCGGCTCCAGGACACGCTCGATGGACTCCAGGATGATCAACGTCGCCACAAACACCAGGAAGATGGCGTTCACGTATCCTGACAGCACCTCGTACCGCCCGTACCTGCATACGGCAAAAAGGTGAACTGCTGTAAGCGCAGGGAGATAAAACAAGCGCCTTGCGAGCCAGAACGAATTTGACAAGCACAGTGTCGGATCAAATGGTTGCACGTAGATTTTCATTCAAAGGAAGGAGCGTGAGAAAGTCGACAAGCTACACAGCCACTCAAACAATCTTCAAAAGAAAGGTGCAGCGCTCAAAACTGAGAGGCGTTATCAAAAAGTTCTGTCGTTATCATAAAGTTCTGTCCAACACCGCTAAGAGAGAGGGCGAATAATGTAACGGCACCTGTGTAGCATGTGCACCATCGCAAACAGCAGGGACAAGGCGGGTGGGCTCACCCATAGGGGTACTTGGCTGTTGACGGCAGCCGGGCGATGTAGGAGGCGTACAGACCGATTGCAAGCGCAGCGCAATCAAAGAGCATGTGGCAGGCGTCGGAAATGAGTCCCAAGCTGCGGGAAGTGGGAAACAGTAGCTCAGTTCAGCTTCAACATTTCCTGTTCGCAACAAAACTGACTGCAGAGGACTGTTAGCTCCGGAAAAAAGCACTCAGATATAATCTCAGATCAGGGGAACGATCAGAGTCTTTCCAAAAGCACTATCAAGGACCCGACCAAACCAAGGGCCGAGGGCCAAGGGCACGTTGCCTTGAGGATGGGCAGTCATGAGATCTATAGAACGTGCAAGAGCAGGAGTATCATGTGGAGCCTCACCTGTTGCTGAAGAATCCGTAGACGAACTCCACGACCATGAAGATGGTGTTTATGAGGAGAAAACCTGCGCAGGGGAGACCACAGACAGGGACGATCAGACCGCAGCTTTAGAGTAGACAACCAGACAAGAACATCTTCGATGCAAAAGCCTACACTGATTTGCGTCCTCTTCTCCATGAGCTACTCATCATCAGCAGCGAGGCAGTGGAAGTTCAGAAAACGAGGAACCGTGGTGCCTGTCGCGATTAGATGGCTGATTCCAGTTCGGGACGACTGACTCGCCGTGCCTATTACAGGATGCTTCACGGTTCCTCCCAAAATTCCAAGCAAAGCTGCGTTCAGCCCTCTTAGGCTGGCTGACCCGGATCGTTCGACCTTGAAAATTAGATGGAAGCGACACTGAGTATCTTTTGCACAATTCAGCACAGCTTCCAGCACACAGCGACTTTCGATGACATGAGACTTTTCTTACGCACTTGCTATCTTTCTCGACTTCTGGTCCGCCCACAGATGCGCCACGGGGCCCTGCACGAGGAGCACCCGGTTCTCATCACTGCGGCCTCCGCTCAACTTCGACCAAAAGAACAAGCAACAAATAGAGGTTGCCTTACACTCAGAAACGAAACTGAAGGTACAAGCACAGAATTGAAGGATTGCCTGCTTACAGGGAGCAGGGCGGTCGCCCCCCTCCTCTGCTTCTCCTTGTCGTCCGGCACCAGACCAATCGCTGCAGCCTCCCTCCTGGATATCTCGACTGAGCCCGACAAGTGAACCCCTGGCGAAAGGACAAACGTCTCAGTAACCTAGAGAAGGTCGACTTACACAGTCGAGCTCGACCGGCAACATTCTGAAGATAGAAAGACAAACGACTCTGTAAAGTGTTCTATGCTTCAGATCGGCGGTGAAGGACGCGGTTGATGTCATATTTCATGCAAGAATCTGGTTGGCAAGACCTGGCAGAAAAAGTCTTTGGAAGATACTCACCAAGCGCCAGCACTGAGGAGCACAGTGCAAACCCCAACACAGAGAAGTCGCCCTTGTTGAACAGCTCGACTGCCGCTACAGAGCCAAGCGTAAATGCCACGCTCATTGGGGAGGAAGAGTTGATGTTAAGCCTGCAAAGCAAGACCCAGATTTGTGTGTCTGAAGAAGACCAGAACGTGGAAAACGAAAGAGGAAGCGGCGGAAACACGCCTCAGTTTCGTGGCAACCACCAGAGGAGAAGGTCTGACGGACACATATCGCCTTCCACAAGTTGTAAGCATACTGCTTATTTGATATATCACACAGCCAGGGGGAACGAATTCAAAATTGAAGTTGGAGCCTACCTGTCCTCCCCAAAGCTCTCCACGTAAAAGTGGAGCACGATACCGAAGACAATGAAGGCCAAGTGCACACCAATGACTGATCCTGCGTACGGTTGTCCCTCGGAGTTCCCCTGCACGAAGCACGAAATAGGAAACTTTTGAGTGCCTTTTGCTCATTCGATTCAGGTCCATATTGCTTTGAAAATCTTTCAGTAACGAAGTCACAAGAAAGAAGGCGTCTCCAACTGCACATCCTTCTAGGCAAAAAGACCAAAAAAAAACGGCCCGCTTGCTTACCAGGCTAAGATACTCGAAGAACGCCATCGGTGCCATGAAGAGAGCTGCAGAGATCACAGTGATCGCTTGCATCCGCTTCTTGCTCTGCGTCTGCACAGAGAACAATAAATTTTATGTCAGGCAACTAGCGTAAAATAGCGCGTGATGCCTGGGCCGCATCCTTACGCAACTCGTGCAGGGTAGAATTCTAAACACAAGATCCACGAGCCCCTCTTGCAATTCCTCTGACAGGCATAAGAAGCAAGATGCAACCTCAACAGTGCAGCAAATGGCTTGTACGGAAGAGGCAGCACCTTCAGAGCTACCCGCCGTGCCAGCAGCCTCCGCGCAGCAGCCATGAGGCCAGCTGCCACGGGAACCAGCATAGAGACTTGTCCAGCGTCCGCTGAGTCGCTGGTGGCGGGTTGCATATCGCTGTTCACGAGCTGGCGAAGCTTCAAGAAGGGCGAGGATGTAGCCGACGACCACCCCCGTGAGAACATGAAGAAAGCCGCGGCCAGGCTGAGGAGGCCCTGGATCTGTTGAAAAGAAAGATAGACAAGAATGCGCAATATCAGTATCTGACTGTCCCCCAACATCCAAAGGATTCTCTCCACCATGCAATAGATTGCGTGCTTTTCTGTACGCGACACAACTACACTTGCTGCAACCTAGTATCTTGACCCTCAGCCACAGCAATGAAGCACGCACCTTCCGTGCACGGTTTCCCCTTTTGCTCAGGAACAGCATGGAGATGCCTCCAACAGCAACTCCAGCATATTCTGCAACTATAGTCCTGTACAGCAACAGATGATGATGGTGAGGCAATAAGTAGAGATCCTTCGGCACAGGTTGTACAGTCAGCAACCTAATTGCAACCCCACGCGCGAAGCCCGTTCTTTGAAGAGTGGGTGCGATTCGCTTAAATCTTGTCAAGCTTTGCAATCATTCAATGTCATGTGCCCAGAATATGAGCGTCAGGGAGTCGACTGCAGGGACAACACTGAATGAGAAGGTCTGCTGTCTAGGATAATTGATCCAGGAAAAAATCGTATGGTTGCTTGTCATAATCTATCGGAGGCTTTCCTAAGCTCTGATCATCAGATGGTCAAGAATACCTTATGACGCCTGACGTCCGCAGCGCATGGCCCCACAGCAGCAGAGACATCGCTAGAACAAACCCATTGATCACTGTAGGTGCCCACTGCAAATCAAAGCAAGACGTCGTCAGAGCGGGTCATCTATGGTGTTTCCAATCAAATCAAGTTTGATTGATTGGAAAATGGCAGTGGACAGAAAAGCGCCAACATTCAAGATGTGATCCCATATTGACAGCAAGTGCTCCGACTTCCGCTCACCTGGCTAGATGGCAGTGGTCTGCCCTTCCATGGCTGCTGAATGACAAGGAACGCCAGGGCAGACCCGAGCAGGCACCAGAAGACAAACTGGATCAAGGATGCGCTTGTGGTCTCCAGGTACTGGTAGACGGCGTACACGCACAACATACGCAGGAACTTCCCAGATCCATAGAAGGAGAGCTGAGGTAATTGGCTGCATAGTCAAGGCAAAGAATCAGCTTAAAGCACAGAAAACATGGCCAAATCGATAATTGGCGTGATCAATCTCCAAAACAAGAAGCACAACATCACATGAAATCATTTGACAGCAAAGCGAAGAGTTGAGAAGTGGGGCTCACCTTGCTGTTCTTGACTTTTTGTTGTACTTGTCTGCACCTTCGTCATCGACCCCAGCAGCGTTTCCAATCGTCTTCATTTTGCACAAGAAAAAGCTACCGACAGATGAGTTTGAAAAACTCGATGCAGCGCTTGCAAAGGACAGATGGAAGCGCTCGTACAGCCTCCTCAGTTCTGCTATGCGCTACCTAAACAACAACACCTGCTACACCAACATGAGAACTTGAAGAGAAAACAAGCCACCATGCCATGCAATGCGTCGCGCTTCAATATGTTGTGTCCAGGTTGCCACAACCGTCGGCGTTGTAACTTGTGGCGCTGGAGCTCCGAGTCCAAGGCTCAAGCTTAGCGCGGCCGCTAGCGCGCGACCCTCGGCTAGGCTAAGCGCGGCCGCGGTGCTTCATGCCAGAGTTAGGCGGAATCCGGCAGAACTTCGTCCATGCGGCGGAACGCCTCCACTGACGGTATGATTGTTTCTTTGGGCCCCGGACCATGCATATTTCGACTTCAATATGCCATATGCCAGCCGAGTTTTTGGCCGTTATGCCATATGCCGAGCGCGCTTTTTTGGGTTATGCAATATGCAATCAGCATATATGCTACATCTTTGCTTTTTGGGCTAAAAATGGCCGTATACAGCTCAAAAACGACCGCAAACACTTAATTCTCCTGCCGATTTCCTGTTTCATGGGGATTCCGAGGCAGACTGTAATATGTTCGATCACTATTTGCAAGAACACTAAATTTAGCTATTTATGACAACAAAAATGCGAGGGACTCCGTTTGGTGAGCATGTAATTTTTGGGCGCTGGCCCGTATGGTAGGTCCTACCGGACAAATTTGAGGACCTCGGGGCAGCCTGCACTCAACAAAAGACCATAAGCGAGCTGGTCCAAATAAATATACGCCTCGCATTTTTCAAGAGGTTTTCGAGTTTCTTGTCTAAGTTTTCTCTATATAATTCAAGCGACTTTTCCGAAACTAACAGCACATAACCTGACAAAATATGCGGTATATGACGTATACGGTATATAAATAATAGCTGGTATTGTTAGCTCATAGCTTGTTATTGTTATTGCCAGAAGATATCAAAACATTCGGATTCGGAGTGTAGGACATTCAGGGCCAGAATACACTGAACATTAGACTATCTTAGACATATTGGCATATTGCGGATGCCAATATGCCGGACGCCAAATCAGTTTTTGGTCGATATGCCGTATGCCACGGCCTCAAAATCCTTGTAGACCGTATGCTAATATGCATGGTCCGGGGCCCATTTCTTGCCCTAATCCGAGGCATTTGCATGCGCTATGCACCTGGGTGTGCACGCGTTCATTAATACGAAGTGACCATCAGGCATTTTAATATTTTAACGGCCCGGCGCGTTGCGTGTCCGACCTGGATTGCTTAAGATTTGCCGCCCATTTGCCGTAGCCAAAGTTGCTGACTCTACCAGGTTCTACATACCCATGCCGCCACGGCGATCTTCCTTCCGTACGACCAACGTAAGTTGGTGGCGTTCACCAGCATAAAGTAGAAGTGTACGGTAGCTTGGTTGACAGCTTCGGTCTGGGATATTTAGAACCTTGTTGGTAGAGTCGAGCATTGCCTAAGATGCAGAAGATTAGGTCTAAGAGTCTAAGGACAGACACACTTCATACATGTATGCCATGAGAAGCCTATGGCCTATTTGGCTACGGCGAGTACGAAAAGAGACCATCAGAGGCACTCGTTGGCAATCTCGTGTGCCATGAGAAGCCTATGAACGGAACTGGCTACGGCGTATTTGAAAAGAGACCATCTTGAGGTTTGTTATTTCGAATCCTGATCGATAATCAAGCCCAAGTCACTGAGTCAGTTTCTCGTGCGGGTATCTTGCAGGAGACGTTGGCAGTGGTAAATCATTCACATGCATTTGAAAATCTTTCAAAGTTGGCCGTAGGTGTACATGCCTGTCGAATCCCGCTGGCATGGAGAGGGTAAGGAAGATCATAGCGGGTCATCAGTAGTCGAAAGGTCCACCGGTGCGAGGAGTTCGTGGATCATGATGGCTCAATACTCAAGGGCACATAACCGCTTGTCCGATGCCAAAGCAAGAAAGCACATGCTACTAACGACACAAACCCGCAACACAACGAGCTTGTAATACTGAAGGCGCAACCTGAAGCTAAGGTACTTGATATCATCTGCAGAGTACAAGAGAAAATATGCATCAAATCAGACTCAGAATCGGAGTCTCCAATACTCAAATGCGCACTATTAATCAGCTGCTTGAGACTGGTACGCCCTGTTTCGGACGTTTTTGGTTATGGACGGGCAACCCAATATCCAATTTCGGACTATGTAATCCAGTCTGCGGCCGCACGTGTGTAACATGTGCAGCGCTCGGCTCGTCTCCTGATGGTACTTTCAACGTGACAGTGAGAACCGACGCCCCGGAGCAGCCGCATACTAGGTTAACTGACTTTAAAATCAGATTTCGGGTTTGCCCCTTCAAGACAGAATCGTCCGAATAGGGCGCATTAGCCAAATACTTAGATTGAACATATGCTGCTCGATTCCGCATTCAGAGGACCGAAAATAATCGAAGATTTCCACTCCAGCGTATTTTCACAAGAACCAACTTCCATGCCTAGCAAAGACAAATGGGACCTGCCAATACGAAAGTGCGTAAGCTGCGAAGACCTTGAGTCCTGGACTTGGACCAATGAAGCATTTTCGAATTGGCAAACTGTGTTGGCATACTCACCAGTAAAGCAGCGGCGTAATGAAGGCCCAGTACGAAAAGCACCTGCTTCGGCTTCTTCCTTGCATAGCCATCGAGTGCGACCACCATCGAGAAAGTATGCAGAACCAGAAAGCCAAGAGAGGCCAAAACTGCAGGAGAGGAAACATCAACCAGTGCGCTTCAAGGGGCGTTGTATGGACAACTTGTGTATTACTCACATGGAAACTTTGCAGCGCATCAGCAACTCCTCCAAGACATTCGGAAAAGCGTTTCGCAAACACTCGAAGAACACAGCAGTTGTTGACAAGTTTAAGCGCGCTTCACGAGCTTCGCATACCTGCTGCTAAGAAGAACGGCACCTCAGGGCAACCCTCCAGGTAGTACGTGGCAGCCCCAAGCGTTGGAGTGAGAAGGGCCAAGAAGAACATGGCAGAATGAGCAAGACCATGGCCCAGGCCGCTCGCTAGCAAAGAAAGGAGTTGAGTACTATGAGGGGACAGCGGAGTGCAATTGCATGAAAATTACGTGCCTTACGTACATAAAATACAAGGCCACGACCAAGGACTCTGTGACAAGGTCCCATGGTCGAACAACGACTATGTAAGCGGGGAGCCTACATCTTGATGCTGACCGCTACAGACACAGGTGGCTCTACGATCTTGAGGGGCACACGCACCTTCGTTTAGCGCGCAACCACAAGGAAGGGCGCCAGATTAACGAGCCAAGACATATGCGCTCTCTTTATGCCCCATTTTTGATAACGTCAACTGTGTTCAGAGCCTTACGACTCACTACAGTTTGATTGGACACGATTCGTAGGTGTCCGGATACGGCGATAGAGAGCGGTCTCCACGCAATGCAACACGGATGCAAATGCCACAACCAAAGTGCACGGGACCTTGTCAAGATCTTACTCACCAAGGTAGATGGAAAGCTTGTCCAAAGCAGATAGCTTTGCCTTTGATTGCTTCTCTGCTAAAGCATCGAGTGCACTTTCTGTAAACCTGCGCATCAGACATAAACATTAAAAAAAGAGCAAATACAAAAGTGAACGTCGGGCCTTCCATTGCCACCGGATCCCTTTCTGTTTTCCCCAAATCGTCACAATTAGAGAAGGGAGTGGGACCGGATCAGTTGAATTCCCCTGCCTTTGTCACCAACATAGGATCAGTGAACAAGTCCCAACGTCATACCACCCAAACACCAAGGAAGGCATGCATACAGAGTGATTGTGATGGACCCCCCATAGCCCTCTACTTTTGCTACCCTAATACAGACTAGAAGAGCTCTCAAACGCTGAAGATGGCGTGATGAGATGTTCACCTGCATAGTCTCCAGTAAATCCATCGGACGCTTTCTTGGACTGACACAGACAACAGCAGGAGGAAGACCAGAAGTGGAGACGATCCTTCCGCAACCAGAAGCAACTTCGCCGGTATTCCAATGAGCATCAAAGTGAGGAGCCAGAAAAATGCACTGCAAAAGAAGGATCTTGAGTTCGTCTTGGTGGCACGTTAGATTTCCCAATGCCAGGACAGAGCGAGTCACATCAGCACAATTGGGTCTGTCTGCCACCGACACACAGCACTCCGACACAATGCAGTCATCTCTGGAATGATCCAGTGTACGGCAGACGTTTTAAAACATTGAAAAATGTCTCTATGAGGCTCTTTCAGGCAAGGTGACTTGCACTAAAACACCACTTTCAGAGGTTCTATGGACAATGGGGCAGAAAAGTGCTCAATCTAGCATTAATACTGCCGCTGGGCAAGAAGTGGTCAAACCCTAATTTCGAACTTGGCACCACCAAGCAGCAATGATTCTAAGCAATGACAAGTGTAGGTGGGATCATGGTCGTGCACGCACCTGGCAAGGACCACTATAAGAAGAAATGGTTTCCGTAGAACTGTGCCAAGCAGAACCCCCGCTGGTCCCAAACCAATGAGGGCGTATCCACAATAGGAAAGAAGCGTCATATTTCCAGCATAGGTATCAATACAACGACGATTCAGAATTCTCCTCTAGCTCTGATGCAGCCACCGTGCCGCCACCTTTCTTGCTTCGCAGCTGCCCACAGCCTGAGGCGGCAGGGCAACATGGGCTCCCGGCAGCGCCTGCTAAATGACAATTTAACGTCTGCCTCCGAGTCTGAGCACTGCACAAGCCTATAGAGATATTAAAACGTACGTAGAGCCTGAGGATCTCCAGCCTAACCGACCTGCCCCGCCACGTCCTGGTTAGATATTCTCTGGAGGACGACGAGGGCACGGAATCCGTTCACCCTTGTTCTACCTAGCCTTCCCCTCCGACGCCCCTTGTCTGGCGGCAGCGGAGTGCTTCAAGAACCTAGGTGCGGCGGCGCCAGACTGGAACTTTCGCAGCACAATGCAAATCGGGAGCAACGTCAACAGCAGAGAGCTCAAACTCTCCCAGGAAGTGGTCGACCAGCTTGGGGGGGCCGACGAAGTGAAGCAGGCAATTGAGACGGCCTGCGAAGCGCGGGGTGCACCGAGGGCGAAAGTCGTGTCGGTAAAAAGACGGGGAGTCAACGTCACGAAACTCCCCGAGGTGTGGATACGATACATTCGTGTATCAGAGCCGTACACATCGTGGTCGTGTACAGCTTGTGTACCACTTGGGCATGGCTAGTCTGACATGTGTACGAGAAGGTCCTGCTGTACACGACGTGGATCGAGGCCGGATGGTACACCCTGTGTAGCTTTGTGTAGCAAACCTGTACCCCTTTGACACAAGCATTGCACGGAATTCAGTACCGATAGCTGAGGAGCACCCGACATGTACACAATCACCTGCAGGACCTGCACTCTGCTTAGATGCTTTGCCGCCCGGGGCTGGGGGCAGTAATCGTGGCGAAATTGTTTTCGGAAATGCGCAAACACTAATTGCTGAAGCGCAAATTCACCCTAATTGGCGAAATTGGCGAAATTATCTGTATGCTTATGCAATTTCGGGCGCCTCAGCCTATAACTTGGTGCCGAAATCGGTATTGGTCTGACGCTAACTCAACTATTTAGCTGCCTTCAAGGCAGACTGGTCATACAAGATCAAGAGTAACTGCTCCTGGGCCCAAAACGTCATTGACACAGGTGTTTCCGCGCCGCGCGCCTACGCGCGACCGCGCGGCCGCGCTTAATTTCGCCAGCCTGCGCAAACTCCTCCCTTTGCGCGAATATGCGCAAACTAATGCGCAAACCTAATTGGCGAAATCAATTAGGTTTCGCCACGAACACTGGCTGGGGGCTGCGGATTGTCGCGGCCGGCGGTCTATTTGCGCCGCGGCCGCCT